GTAACGTCTGACAAACTGACTCGGCCCACAAACGAGGTCTTATCCTACCTACAATATTTTCCATCGACCGACGTGTACTCTTAAGTACAATAAGGCTTTTTAACAGTTCATGGTTCAACAAAACTAGAACACAAACACAGCATGATACATTTTGCTAATTATGATTCCTTGCAAGGCTAACAGCTTAATATCAATCCAGATTTATAGAAAAAAGACATGTTACTCTATCAAAAGATGTTCACATCTAAATTTTTGCACACGCCAAGGCAAACGTATAATAAGCGTGTAGACGACTAATCAATTACAACACATTATTTATTATAAACTTCAAAAAGGACGTATTTCTACGAGGTTTACATTTTTTATTTCAACTAACGTGTTCGGTGTTACAAAGCTAATTAACAACAAAAGTACTATTAAGGCATTGGCTGCCAATAAAAAACTGTTGAAGGCAAATCCTCCGCTAATGTCGGTCACCGGTGACTGCCATGGCGTTTAACGTGTTAAATACTCCTTCTAAATTGTGACCCATCTCTCAACCAAAAGATACAAAACAAATTCGCCCCTCGTACGCATTCAAATTTTACCTTAAAGGCACATCAACTTAATTGATTTCTCCCCTGTCTAAACACATGTTTTGCAGGACAAAGTAAATTATGTACCTGGGCCTGTGTCTAGACAAGGGTCTAGACACATAGAGGGAAGATGATTGGGTACAAAGTAAAAGCAGGTATCAATTTACCCTTTGATCTGAATGAATCTCCCCTTTAGCGTTCTGTACAAACATTACGTCAATCATATGTCTGGATTACTATTTTTCTTTTGATGTGAACAATGGATACTAAAGATCAAAGTATTTTTAGACACTGCGTAGGTCTTGAGTTACAATCCATACAGGTTCTGTTCGTTTTATACGTAGACTTGTGATGTTGGTAAGTAGAACACGATTGACGTAGATAATTACAGATATGTGGATTATAAAAGGAAAGGGGTGGTATATAATGTAGATAGATTTACAAACCTTTCGAATACGAAGAGACTCTTAATAAAATTAATAAATATCCCAAATAATTTCATGTCTTAAGATTACGTATATATGCAATAGTTCCCGATGCTTCCATGACAATAAAATAAATACACACCATCATAAAGGACACCTAAAATTATATTTATACACGCCTAGCGGATTGCGTTCATTTCCTTAAAATTGCTCTCAGTTAAAAAAACCGAATACATTACTAGTAGGTATGACAACTTGTCATTTATTATTAATATGCACCCACGAAGAACTCAATAGCATTTTCAAACATAACAAATATCTAGAAAAGACAGATCAAGTGTTTGCCATTGCAGCGCATATGACATTATTAAACCTGACATAAAATTCGCGGCAAGCATAAGTTCGATTAACACTAAATTCTTTAGTCGCTATAATGGGAAACTACGCAAATAGCAATAATTTAATACAGTATGTTAGGTTTAACGAGGGACATATTCAAACCCACAATAGTATATGCTCACATGAACCTAACAAATATATAAACGAAACAAAAAACTATTAAATAACAGACAGAACTATAAAAACGCTTACGCTTACGGTTTACGGGTGACGGCTTAGCGGGCTTACGGGCGCTCTATCCTTTTCGGCAAGATCGGCGCGTGTTTTGCAACGTGACTTACTTTATGTAAGTACTGTTTCTGTTTACAAGTTCACTTGTTGCGCGCTCTGTGTTCATGATGATGTATTTTATTGGACATAAGATAACATAACATAACATCACGCCTTTTATCCCCGAAGGGGTAGGCAGAGGTGCACACAGAAGTAACACCCACTTTTCACTATTTATGTTATGAGTCCCATGTAATAGGGGGTGAGCCTATTGCCATATTCCGGGAACATTTCCAGACTTCGTGCTACTACTCAGAATTTTTAAAAAACCCAGTTATACTTTGCCCGACTCGGGAATCGAACCCGAAACCCCTAGCCCGACAGTCGCACTTGCGACCACTCGGCCAACGAGGCAGTCAGTTTTATTGGACAATTATCTCAAAAATTTAGGTTATAGGTTTCTTACATATTCGGGACGAGAATCGAATACTGAATAGTTCCCTCAATAAGCTCCCTCGTTTAACCTAATACACTGTATATTGGAAACATGATTTTCACTATGTGATACTGATAAGTGATACAAATGCAATGCAGAGTAATAACCTTCGTAGAATCAAGACCGCTAACAAAACGAACGAATAAGCCAAAATGATTGCGAATTACTTAATGAATAATTATAATTATCTCTGTAATCTACTAAGTATATCTCTGTAAATTACCATCGCAATAGCACGTGATCCTATTTAACACTAGAAGGAAAGATCTTGCTTTTGTGAATCGTTTGCATTGCTATATTATTTTTGAGCACATCGCAATTCGCTTCAGCTCTCTTACTTAGCTTAAGCTCTCTCTACATGCCTTAGATTTACTTAAACGTCGTTCTCAACTTTTACTTTTTGATTGATTTAAAAAAGAAACATTTTTCCAGCCTTTCTTGTCTCGCATTCAACTTCGCTTTAATCCACTAAATATTACCATTTCAAAGACGTAACATGGTTAAGAAAAAAGTTTGGAAGGATTTGCAGAGCAAGTATTGCAACACCAAAACTTATCTACGCAGTTAAAACACTAAGGATATATATAACTCGAAAATTTGTTCTGATTTATTTTTACGCAAGAGATAAAAGTGCCAGTTAATCACACTAACGCCCAAATACTGAAAGACTAGGTACTCAAAGTCAAATTCAAAGCATTTATTTCAATTAAACCATAATTTGGTACTTTTGAAACGTCAACAAATACAAAATAAATAATAGTCAGTCCGTCAGTGAAGCTAGGTGAAGCAAGGTGTACTCAATTTTAAGTTATACTTAGATATCGTGCTCTGTCATTTCACAAAGAATTTGTAGTGACAGAACTATATGTAAGCGCGACTTAAAATTGAGTGACAGTTGAGTATTTCAGCATAAGAAAGAAATTTTAATCGCTAAAGCACACAGCTACATGTAAAGAAGAAGAAGGTTTCTTCTTTTCCTAAAAGAGACTTTATTTATTCCAAATAACTGACAACGTTGCGACCATAATCATGATGACGAACTTCATTTAAGTTTTTATATGAACAATGGCAAAAGATTTTGAGAACATTTGAGACATTGATGCACAATATGCATATATCTATCGCAACGCACAACACGCCAAATCAAAGTTTGATTACATTAGCATAAGGTTAAAACTGCAATGCGAGGCAAACACTTGAACAGTCATGAAAGCAACAACGAATGTCTAGTATAAATAACGACGAGAGCGAAAATGAAACTTTGCGTTTGTAAACCAAGGTTGAATTTTAAACAACATATTTAATAGAATAAAATAATAATATACATATTTACCGATCCTTAACTTTTTAAAACATTATTATATTCATCTGGAAATGACAAGAAAGAACATTTTAAATCCTTTTATGGGAGTAGTGCGACTAGCAATAGATGGCGTTACATATTTTGTGTAACATAGTTATAGGTACCTGTTACATAACTAGAATTTTATTGTCATGTCGTATGGTAATGCGAATTAGTTTTGTAATACAATACAGCTGATGTATAAAAACGCATAAGAACTGCAACTATTTGAGACCTTTATGTTTTTTATTTTACGTACATTAAAGGCGAAGTAGGTAAAAACATGTGACAAAGCATCTGTGATAAAGAAGACAGTCAAAAGCCTACAACACATTCAAAACATCTCAATTATTTATGAGATAACAACCAAAAACGAACCTTTTTCGAAGCTCATCATATGAGGTCATGAAAATAATCGCGAGACACAAATTGAAAATTTTACTCCGTACAATAATTTGGGACTGGGATACTTTAGGCTACGTCGTCATCTGCCGTATTTCAAAAGAAGTACTAACGAATATTAAACCAGTTTTATAAAAGGACGACCGACGAACGCCGAGGGTGAAACCGAGTGGAGTGCTATTTTGCAAACAACTGCGACTCTTAAAATGACCTTGGACTAGAATTTACAAAATTTCGATTCAAGTGTTACATATTACTAGATATATTAAGTACATTCAAATATTTTTTTTAGTCATTAGTTCTTCTGTTAATTTCAATTCAATAATTATGTTACATTTTATTAATACCGAGACCTAACCTATGTTGATGATTATATTTATAATTATACTCAATATTTTGTTTCTCCTACTCATATTCTTGTTTAAATTATCGCACAAAAATTATACATAAACGTAAACATGTATCGTACACACAGATGGCGCCATCTGTTGGCAAAAATTCGTAGTACGATTATGTCATAGTTTCATCGCTTCCTTACGTCAAATTCTTTTTATTTTTATTTTCACGCCTTAACTGTACAGACATGGGGTCATTAGACAATGATTTATTTATTAATATTTTTTATTAGATTCTTGATGAACTTTCATATAAGAATTAATTTCGTGTTAAATGAAATAAACTACATTGAATCGATTCAGACCTTATAATGTTACATATTTTATTTAAGTACCTATTGGTAATATACTCAACATTAAAATATTAGTTATACCATAGACATAATAATATTTCTGTGAGTCATATGTACTGTTTTATTTATGAATTTTTTTTCACAACACTCCAGATTTCTTGATGTATATGATGATATAATAATACTGTACTACCTATATAAATACTTTTTTTTTTAAATATTGTTTGTAATACTTGTTAGTATGTAGTCTATATTAGTATGCAAACTATGCAATGCATACATATTAGTATTCTGAATATATACATAACCCATTGTAACTTTGAATAATGATCAGAATTAGAAACAAAGTGACCTATCCACTACAATCCATTCAAAGAATTTAAATTCATCCATTTATAAATAAAATTATAGTTTTCAGTTACCTTTCCAGTCATTTCCAGATAACTATAAATAAAAGGCTTACCTGAAATAGAATCAGCATTGGTGTCTGGATTCTCTAATAAATGGTAGTCAGCATTGGAGTCCAAGCCCTCGGCAATACTCTGCCAGGCTTCCTTAGAATTATTGCTATTGTTGCTGCTCTGGTGTATATTGTCAACATCACCATCTCCTATACTGGATTCTCTTTTTAATTTCGGCTTCTTCTCTTCTCCATCTTGATTGTGACGTCTTCTTCTCTTATATGGTGTGAATAACCGTACTGGTCCCATCGCTGAGGAGTGAAATTTCAGCTTCAGCTTGCTGTTCAATTGCGATAGCCTGATACTAAGTAACTACTTATGCAAATTTCATGTACTAATATAAGCTATGTCGTTTATCATCATTCCATTACTTTCAGGCCTGTGTAGTCATATGTCATTTTAATAGTTAATTAAGTGTTTATTTTAGAAAGACTACTTATAGTCACAGAATTAAGTGTGGCAAATAATAATTTTCAATAGTGAGATTTTTATTTTAGAGTTCTACAGGGAACTGTGATAGGCGGTCTAAGTTAGTGTTTTTCTACAATATTCATGAAATCAAATGGAATTTTATTTTAAAACCATAAATTTCATACTCATTTTGTTTGATATACTTATTAGTTTTGTTCTAGTTATTAATTTCTAATAATGTAGTTATTATCATTGTTCACAATATATTATGTAGGTACATTCAGTTGATGTTGTCAATTATGCTGCTTTAGTGTTTAATGAAAATAGTCTAAAAGGTGGAAAGTTCATAAATATAAATATTGTATAAAGAGATAATTTGTTGAATAAGAACTGAACATAAAAAGTATAAGATATATTTTTTTTAATGCATAAAGAATTTTTTAATTCCCGATGTTTCCAATTCCTATCCACTGCATATCACCTGAATTCTTTCTTTTTTGTTGTGATAAACAGTGTCCAATAGCCGGATTAGTCTTTTCCAGCACCCTTTCAGCATCAATTAGGGTAAGAAGATAAGAGACATAATCTACATTGCGGGGTAAAATAGCTTTACAATTGATTCAAAAATGTTGATCTCTTTATCATAATGTTTTGTATCCATGTATATGTAAACAGTATCTATGAAACATAAGTTTAAGCATTCATTTATTTCATTATTTATAAGCCTATTAGTTTATATTTCTCTTTGTATTTAATTATTGAAGCAAGTCAAAGATAATGTATGTAATTTCCTAAATGATCAGAGCTAATGTGTAAGATAACCTCCTTCATGAGTAACCTAGCTTGTAGGATTCAGAGCTTGAAGCTATTGTCACAATAACTAATTCATATTTGTTGTAGTTTTGTTGACTTGACTTAAATTAATTTACTGAATTTTCACAATCACTCATAAACCATATTTTGTTATAACACTAATGTAACCTAACTCTTTTGTGGTTGTACTCTGTTTATTTACTTTGCAGTATATAAGGATTATTTAACTTCTTTTAGTTATGTGAATGAATAATAAAGCCAGGCTAAATACTAACTTACTGTATCAACAAAGTAAAGTACTGTCAGAATCCCCACCTGTCTGGTCATCACAGCAAGCCCCACAAGTACAGCTTGTGGCATGAGGGGTCAGTATTCCCTCATCTATCAGTGCCTGGATGCTGCGCCCTCCAAACCTAATAGATCGTTTCCAGTCTTTACTAGAAGCCCTCCCACATAAGGCTTCAAATTCACTAGGAGTGTACCATTCCATTCCGTATTTTATACACCTCCCTCTACCCCCAGAACCAAATCTTTGTTTATGAAGTTCGGCTGGCGTATTTTTACATCGAATAGGCAGTATCGGCATGCTAGCAGTCTCAGCCCATGATCGAGCGCTAGTATGTCGAGCACTTGATGCACTAGAGCTACTCTCCTCTGGCCGTGTCACTGGCGAAGTAGGGTTTTGGATCACAATATGAGTAGGTTTTATGTCATCTGACACAGATACGGGTCCACCTGATATAAACCCATTATCAACACATATCATAGGTTTGAAATGTGGCAACTGATCTGACGTTATCACGTTAAATGTGGTGCCAGTAATAAGTGTGCCGACCGGCAGAGAAACTGGCACCGTGACGACGCCATTAGAATCACTAGATAATCTCGTATTTTTGATTGCAGTCGACAAAACAGCCCCGCCATCAGATCGGTCGGCATCGTGATCGGCCCCCGCCGACAGGGGATCGGCTTCGGATACTTCGGTAATGTCCGGCATAACGACGTTGTCCGAACCTCTATTCTCCGCCATATCTTGTTTCCGCCCACCCAGGCATACACCTTTGCGGTGCGGACGAATTTTAGCAATCACATTAACGTTTTACAACTGGTATGCACTCACACAAAATGATTATGAACTTCGTTCACACACCATTCTAGATCCGCCATAATTAAATCGAAAAATAAAAAAAAAACATTTCACGTACGCTACTTAGGTTATGGCGGGAATTTTGAAAACCTTTATCCTAATCTCCATTACGATATACTTTAATTCAACGTATTTTCAGACGTTGCAAGTGCAATAATACATCCAAAGATATTTAAATTGTTGTAATAAAATATTGCAATTATTCTGATAACTTTATGAACTTTTGCTTTTACCAGTGCCAGATTATACAAAAAAAAAAAGAATGTATTTGAGAGTGTAAATAGGTGCAAAAAGTATTTGTTCAATATTTTTGACAGTGGTTATCAGTAAGTGTTGCCAACCTATCAAATCAATCGATAAGTGTATTGTTGTACCAATTTCCTATGCTCTTTTGAATTACTACTAGGAAATGAAGATTATGATAGTTAACATAACGTTTACACCTCATCCTAAGTGGTACAATAATATAATCAAGCTTTGATGTCGGTAAATTAAATTAATTAGAAAAGCACCTTTTGTAATTTATTTTATTCTTGATATTTATTAATTCTCATGATTATCCTTAATTTACCAATTTTGAAACATAAGCATACCAATTAAATTAATAAAAATATTACTACTTAGTCTTCAAGAAGTGCAAGAAAGAGATAGCTAGCAGAAACAGCTGTCAACTATTCCGTGTCTCCGACTTCGACCGATTCATTCATGTATTTGTGTGCGTTAATAGAATTGTCAAAATATGACAAAATTGCATGGTTGATATTTCTACTCTGGAGATTCCAAAGGGTGTGTTAATCAACAACAAAGATATACCTTGCAATAACGTGTATAATATATTAGTTTGTGGCCATTCAGAAAAAGATTAAAAAGCAATCCAAAAGGTAGTCGAGATCTCTAGGTTCATGTGTTACGTATCTACGACCCAAATTAATTTTAATTGTTACAACATTGTACTTGACTTTCTGAAAAACCGGCAAAGTGCGAACCAGGCTAAAGCGCGAAGGGTTTGTGGTGTGATACAAATCACGCTTAGCGCCATCTATCGACGATGAGCCGAAGTTTGTTAGATTACCCGCCCCTATCTGAAGGCAACACAGGTGCAGTTTAGGCACTGTAAAATGTAAAAGGTAAATGAGAAACGAGAAAGGTAGCTACTAACTGAAAACAAAAATAACTACAATAATACGAGAACCAAATTTACATCAAATACATTTATTTCACTACTTACAATAAAACATCGAGTATTCAATAATACGTAGGTATACTTAATATAATTAACACTTAGACCACCACGACTTTAGTAGAATATAATGACAAAAAATGTATCATTTCAATAGACTTATCCGCTGTTAGACACCTAGCTAGGCTAGAACACGCTTTTTTGGGATGGCGATCAAAAAGTTAATCTAAATCTTCATTTCTCATAAACACTGAATCTTAAATTTTATAAATCATTTCGAAGATTTTATATAATAGAATACTAGAATTATTCATAATAATTTAAGTCTCTGCTTTGGCAGTAGTTGTGGTTTTGGCGTAGATACTAGGTGCATGGCACACTATAGGTACAAATAACCACGTGAAGTATAATTGAGTAATTACTTATAGTGTGTTTTCACAGTATTTTATACTAAATACATTCAATAAAGACATCAAAAAGTCTTAAAATTAAAATTTTCTTACTCTACATCTACACAGATCAAAAATATTATGTAGGTATAGTTTAAAAGTGGCTTTGTATATAGGTAAATAGTAACTGTTTACAGTTGTACAGCTAACAAGAAGGAGTATACTACAATGTACAAGATATGGGCTAACCTGAGCCTTATAAATAACATTAAAAAGAGTAAATGTTAAAATTTTCCATTTACGTCGTTTTAGTAATACATACTTGCTTACTACATAGACTTAAATTCGATGTAAAACATACAACTAACTACTTTGTGAAAACACTGACATCCGTTGAATTAATTACGTGTATAGTCACATGCAAAAAATAAGGGCGCATGGTAGTGCACCCCGCTAAGCAACGTTTTCCATTCATGAAAAATCAGTCGTTTTTGATCAAAAACTTACAGTTTCTTCAGATGTGCGTTCAGAAAATGGATATACCTACTACTTTGGTAGTAGATTACAGAGCTTATATCTAAATACTTATGAGGTACATCAAGAACCGCTCAGACAGAAAGGAGCGTATGCGCACGCACTTGCGTGAACAATCTAAATTTAAATTGCACGGAGATAAAAAATTACTTGACCATGTGTCAAGCCGTTGGTCCATCCACCATAACTATTTTTCGTAACCAACAACGAATACCGACGACATAGTGTGTAGGACCCATAAGATACGAGCTATATGTATAAATAGAAGAAAGTAATTCTTCATAGTTATAAAAAATAAAGTACGAGAGTCAATTTAAATCTTTCATTGCCGGCTAAGAAAAACAAGCTTAATGATGAACCAAAGGATTGTAAGAGCCAATCGAATAAGATTGGACTTTGTGCAAGTTAAAGTTAAAGTTTGAAATACAAAATTTAACGTCATAAGGACTTTCTTTAACCACATTTTCAGTCTGTGCAAAACTACCCCACATTTACATCGATTGTAATAGACGCTTAATAAAATGTAGACAAACAATTCAACTTTGAGTAGATTGGTTCAGTTTCCATCATTGCTGGCGTTAAAATAAATCTGTTTAAACTGGTAATTCTTCCAGTATATATAATTGGTATAATTTTAAAATGAATTTTGATAAAACAATTCCCATTTTAATTTAATGTAATGCCTGAACTACATATCCTACAAATTGACATTCGCTGTCTAAATGTTTACATAAATACATTCGAACGCGTCTTTGAGTGCGTCCAAAAAATTCGGATTTATTCCATTTTCTCACTTTTTGCACGACATCTCATACCTTTTAAATAGCTGCGCACTGCTTACAACCCTTTTCTAACTTACTAAGACCATATTGACCAAAATAAGGTCGGAGAATCCTGTAAGCAGCGGCTCTGCCAAGCCTTTTAGACTGGTTATTACTAGTTATTAGTCATATTAACGTCTGCCGGCACATACCTACGCTTTTGATTCGAAACTGTACCAGAATATACTTTTAAAGGTTTAGTTTTTTAGCTACAATGTGGATAGAAAGATAAGATTAATTTATTAGGTTCTATGAATACCATAAGGAACAGTTTCGAATCGCGAAGAAGCTAAGAACTATTATAAAATTATATAGCCTAACTAAAAATAGACACAGACTTCGATTAAGCAGTCTCTTTGGTTGCACTTGGCCGTAACATTACAATTAATCTCTTAGATCGCAACGTTCCTTTCCTGCGTGGCTCCTTCTGATAACTGCAAACCACGTTTTTGAAGTCAGTATGCTCTTACAGTACAGTCAATATTCAAGCTTACCTGCTCTAACCACTTTTTGGTTTCATTGTATCATCATTATACAATTTAATTTTTATTTTGTCCAAACCGAACTGGTAACTGGATAAACTCTCCCCCGCCTATGGATTTTCGGCTGCTGTTTAGTTAATATCATCCCTAGTGTTTACAAACATCGTAATTTAATCTTGCAAACATAGTATAGATATTTAAAATATAGTATCCGTAACCACTCTTGTAGTATTTCACTTGAGATCATATCTTACTTAAATTAGTTTAAAAATGAATACTAAATGGGACATATTAGCGTTTAATCGCTTTATTTTAATCACGTTTAATCGTCCAGTGTTTTACCAGTCGCAAAACAATTTTGTATAAGTGCCAAATAAATTACTAGTAGATTTTTCTATTTCAAGCGGAATCTGCTTAGCTTCGTACCGTTTGTTTATGCTACGAAAAATATTACGTAAAAGAAAGAAACCTTAAAAACCCACGAAGTTATGCTTACCTATAAGTCCTTGCCAATACCAAAATAGGTACAATTATGCAAACTTAAAGCGAGGGCATAAAATTAAATATAAAAAGAAATAAAATTTTTAATTGGCCCCCATTCAGCTTCATTTTGTATGACTTCTTGACGATGTTGTTTTTTTTTATATTTGCTGTACAGGTGGGTAAGTACCTACAGTTTGTTCAGTTCTTTTGAAATGAGTTCAGGGGTTAACGTTCTATTATATAAAACACGATTCTGCGCTGAATACAGTGCAAATTTGCGCTCAAATAACATCCAAATACATAATTTTCTGTAGGTAGTTGCTTCACCTTCTTATGATAACATTCGACTTAACTTATGTACCATAATTGAACATTACAAAAGCCACATACAAAGTTAATACATATATACTGTTTCTATAATATAATACCTGTTTCTTCAATGAAACTTCTTTTCATTTTTTTATGACGAAGAAGTTGCTCAGGAATTTCGTTTTGTACGGCAACGGCCATGTGACGAGGCAGGTTATGTACATGTTACTCGGTAGATGATGGATTTTGGCAACGTCTAAAAGAATTAATTATAATTAACAATTGCTACTCCCAAATGTAGCACAAGAGTATTTCCAACCGAATGCCTCGTTATTGTGCTTTACACCCAACCAATATATGCATTTCAACCAATTCAGACTTCCAGGGTGCTTACTCTTGAAACCAATCTCAATGTCAATGCAATTTCAATCCAATAAAATCTCAATAATTATTCAATGTCAAAACTATACAACCCCTTTCGTAACTGTTAAAATAGCATTCAGAGTACAGAATATAAAAGTAAACTCAATACCATTTAGTTAATTCAATATCCACGCAATACGGATGCAATGGGCGTTAGTGTTGCAACTCAAGAGTACGAAATTTCACAATACCAATGTCGATCGATCGGAATTGGATTCAAGAGTAAGCCCCCAGGTTGTAGTTAATGCCTGGCAATGAAATATTAAGATCGTTGCTTTTTACTTTATTATTAAACTATAGGTACATTAATATTTCATAACACTATAACATCACGCCTTTTGTCCCCAAAAAGTAGGCAAAGGTGTACATTATGCCACTGTACATTGTGACCACCCACTTTTCACTATTTATGTTATGAGTCCCATGTAATAGGGAGTGAGCCTATTGCCATATACCGGGCATAATTCCAGACTCCGTGCTACTACTGAGAATTCATCCCGTATTTTAAGCCGCGAATTAAGCCCGACCCAGGAATTGAACCCGAGATCCCTTGCCCGGTAGCACTTGCGACCACTCAGCTAACGAGGCAGTCATGGCAGCAGCATTAATATTTCGGCCGAATTTATAATAATTTTGTAAGCACAAAAAGGTGATACGCGTAAAATACTTGCTGGTTTTCGGCTTCCTACATCAGTCAGCCAGTCAGTCAGTTGTTCAACAAGGGGAGGCTCTTATATGTGTTGATTATACTTTATTCTAAATTGGTACATTACCTGCAAATTAGGCGCGCAGACGCCGTCGCAGCCTCTCTTGTTCCATATAAAATTGAATGCGGTAGTTTCTCATGCTGGAACACTCATGTACATGGAGGGCAGCCAAGTAGCGGATGCAGCTTGCCGAGCAGAAGTACGCAACACGGCATGTGCTACAGACCGTCGAGCAAATCCGTCGACACACACCGCACTATTAACAAATTGAAAGGGTATTTATTTATGAAGCCTTTTGAAATTAGCTACTTTGAAATATATGTAAATCAGGAGCTACAGCTTACATTGGACGGCTTTTCACGTACTCCAATCCCAACAAGAAGAGCTTCAGTAGCCCTAAACTCGTCCGTCAAAAGATTACCCTTTTCATCAAAATGAGTATCGATTGTTCTGATAAACGCTCGTTGGTAATCGTCTATTTGGTCAGTATAACCTAATACCAGAGGTTCGTTCATGCGTCTTATGAATCTATCTGTAACAAACAATAAAGAAATTGTTTCAAACATTATAACTTAGATAACATAAACTGAGGTATTACTTTTGATATCATGCTAATCTTGATTGAGGTAGAAGGTATCCTTTGTCCCCGTATGATACGCAGGTACGTAATACTTTACTCGACTCGAGACTCAACCCAGAAAACCATCGTTTGATGCTTGTGCACTCGATTAACGATGCAGTAGGTTCATTAATTTAAGTTAAATTAAAACATTAAGTATAATTTTATTAAGTACATGCAGTAACATAATATGCATTGTTAAAAAATCACAGTAAATTAAAGTTTAACGTACTTATGCGGAGGGTAAGAACGTCACCAGGACACAGCCATCTTGAACCGCCGTTCACCTGAGTCTTGTGTTGTTGTACAACTGGTTCTTCGATTTTCCTGAGCCTTACACATGGAATGTTTCTAACAAGTATGGGCTTAGGATGGATGCGCGTGGCTTGCATTGGCGTAGCGTGCATAGCCGTAACATGCACCGGAGTGGTGTACACACTCATAGTATTCATGGGATGTTTATACAAAGCATTAGTGTAAATTGGTCCAGAATTAGTAGGTTTAGTCTCTACAGGATCAGTATACATGGGGTCATCCTGATCCCATAACGCCTTAACGCCGATATAATTTAAATATTTTGATTCAGTATTCTTAAAACTGGTGTAGATGGAATCTTTATGACAGAAGTGGCTAAAAATTGGGTTAGCGTAGATAGGAATCGTATGGATAAATCGCGTATAAATGGGATTTGTATATTTTGGATTGCTATACAAGAAGTCCGTGTAAGTCGGTAATGGCTTTATCATCCATTGCCACGGATTGTACCAAGTTCTTTCAATATCGCCATACATGGTGCTCAGTGTCCGATGCGACCTAAAGAAGGAAAAAAGTTTATGTAAATGACAATGTATTTCGACTATCAAGTCACCAAATGTTTTAAAATATTTTATTTTAATTTATCCGGCAACAAATCGATTTTTTTTTACATAATCAAAAACTTAAGAATCTAAAAGCCATAAGTTTAGTAGGTACTTAAAAAGCCCTTCAGGTACGGAACCCTAAAATTAAAATGTAGGTAGGTATTAAATTATAAGTACTTAGACAACCTACTTATCAATTAAATTCTACCAAGCAACCATTGCGATGCAACTATCAAGTCTATAATATGCGCTATACGCGACAATAGTTGTATCCTGTTTTTGATGGGCCGACATTTGACAACTATCTCGCCTGGTGGTAAGCACTGATGTGGTCTACGATGGAGCACGTCGTCTCACAAGCAACCTATTCACTCGGGCCTTGAAGACACTCAGGTTTTTCCCTTCAGGAAATACAGACTCTGAATTCTACGTGATTTGATTAATTAAGTTTTCGTTAGTAATTGAAAAGTAGGTAGTGTTATTAACAGTACAATTTTGTAGATATCCTGTCTAGTCGACTTCACGCGGGCACGCCAACAAAATATGTATGCGCGCAAGTGCGTAGGTCTGGCCGTTAAAGAGGAGGCGGGGCGCATGAGGCTGCAGAGCGCTGCCTCACAACCCAGCCGTCGCGAAGGACACACCGGGCATCAGGGATCGCGGGACTATCTCCGGCCACCGTAAGCGCGAGCCTGTCAACGGCGAGCAAGGGTGGCTCGCCGCCCGACCAGGGTAAAAAAAATAAAAAAAAGGGTGCTTACTCTTGAAACCAATCTCAATGTCAATCCAATAAAATCTCAATAATTATTCAATGTCAAAACTATACAACCCTTATCGTAGCTGTTAAAATAGCATTCAGAGTAGGTACGGAATATAAAGCCAAACTCAATAGGTACCCATTTAGTTCATTCAATATCCACGCAATACGGATGCAATGGGCGCTATTGTTGCAACTCAAGAGTAGGTACGAAATTTCACAATGCCAATGTCGATCGATCGGAATGGGATTCAAGAGTAAGCTCCCAGAACCAGACCCGAGCGTACGGCGCGACGCGTTCCGCGCGCTTCTCAAAGAGCCATCAGACCACCACGAATGAGGCCCAATAGGGCTAAAGACGATACAAAGCCGAGGAGAACTTAACGGGTTACCGGGGCTCCGGCTCGAAGTGCAAGAGTAGGAAGGGGGTGGTTTTAGTCAGTACGAGTCTGACACACTGCCTCACTTAGGCGAGAGAAGTCATTTGATGCCTTTCGCCCATTGAAAAAAACAGGTCTGGCTGTACTGATAATATTTCTTAAAATTACTTTTTGTAATCCTACATTCATTCATTCTCTCATCATCATTATCACCGTTTTGCCACAAGACTTCCACTGCTGAACATAGTAGGTAGGTATGCCCCTACAACTTTCAGATTGACCTGTGTTCCTACAGCTGGCTTCCTACATGCTGCATCTGGCAACTCCTTTCAACCTTTATCAGGTTGTCTGTGTACTTTAGGGTGTCTAAAAATGTTTAAATTAATTGATATAAAAGCATTTGCCTATTTAACCAACTCCCCAAAAAAAAGGAGGTTCTCAATTCGGCCGGTATCCTTTTTTTTAATCGGCTGCTTAGTCACAATTAAATAACTAAATCTAAAATGTATTTAATTCATTTTGTTTTATGGGATAAACCGGTAAATGAGCAGACGAGCACCTGATGGTAAGCAATCGGCGTCGCCCATAGACACCCGCAACACTAGAGAAGAATTTGAAAATTGTTGGGGATGCAAGATTGAAGAGATTGGATTGGGGGGGGGGGATAATTAGAATTCACTCACACGACGAAACACACTGCAAGTGGTATCACTCATTCCATGCTCATTCCTGCCGAAGCATGACTCTCGAACACACTTACTTAATTGAACATACTTTCCAAGAAGACTTTGAAAATAAACAAGTTCATTTGATCATTCATATTCATCATCAATTTTAACTTGAAGAAGAACGGACTTTCCTTTGCTCTGACTTTCCTTAGCAAATACACCATTTATAATAATAAATTAATACAACATGTAGAATGGCTGACAATGCACGTACAATTTTAGTGTTTGCTTATAACGGACATTTAATTTTAATAGGCAATGCCTTTGATGACCCGCGCACATTTATTCTCTTTCATATTAGACAGCTACAGTATAGGTTGGATAGCCATGGTGATGCCATATTTCCTCGCATGGCCTTATCACATTCCCATAGAGATGTGGCAACTATATTATGAACATGATTTTAGTCCTCATCACAGGCAAAATTTCTTCATCCTTACACTTCGGAGGCTCTGATCAAGACATGCACGGGGAATACTATCTAAGGACCTCAAGTTTCTTAAATTTGGTACCTATATAGATGGTCTAGACCCAGTCTCCTGAACTTGATAAGTAGGCATACAGGTAATATACCTCATTCCACACAAATACAAGAATATATAAACAAAGCTATTTGTTTATCATTTACCAACAATATTCGATAATTTAAAAGTTACTACATGTATATTAAATTATACATATTTTGCATAAGTACTTATTTTAATGAATTATTTTCGTTGTATTTTTTTTTTTGTATAATACAGTTACAATCTCAAAAAAAATATTTATATATTTAATTTGGCATTTTTTTTTAAATTTAAATAACATTACAGTATTATTATTAATTAATATTTATTTGAACTCACCTGGTTAAATGAACACAAAAATTAATCACCAAATGTTTAATTAATTATAAGAGAAAAATAAATCACTCTAGTAAATAAATTTATTGACTAGCTACACAGTATACAGTATGCAGCGATGGACGAACGAATACTACAAATTAAAAGGCAAAAACAGAAACACCTGACTGAAAGAAGCCACTGAAGCTGAATATTGATCGGCCCGCCAACTGATTTCGCGCGTAATGTTACCATACCCAAACAAACAAATATGATCAACAAAACAAAAAAGCATATTCGCATAAATCATTTTTAATTTAATTATTTAAAAATAAATATAAGATTATTTATTAGGTAATATGTTTACTAAATTGGTTAGGTATTTCGTGGTTTTTAATTTAATTAATAACAACGAATATTTTTTGTTACGCGGCCGGTAGTCTCGACATTTATTATGATAAAATTTTGTCGGTAAATTGTGAATATCTATAACAGATTTTCAACTTTATTCCTCTACTGTTAAAGTTGAAAATATAGTGTCACTGTGCCGGTTCTTCTGTTGAATGTCGAGACTGCCAATATTGCAACATTCAAAACCAAAAGACCGCCGTTTTACAACGTGACAGCTCATTTTGACATTGACACTGATTTGTTTCTATTTCCAACAGGGAGTATACCAGTCTGGAGAACCAATAATTGAATTACAATGAATCAAATAAAGCTGATGATAATGGTTAGACCATGCGTTTTGCCTCATAGAAAATGAATATTCTGCTGTAGGCAAACTGTATACTATGATACGTAGACATGTTTTAAGTGTAGAAACTAAATAAAAACAACTTGGCACTATGAGAATATAGTGCCAATTTGTTTAACTTAAATCTTAATAATGGAAAGAAAATCCTCTCCATAAAGGAAAATGCCCATAAAAACCCAAAGTAGATTAATAGTAATTCGCGGACAATAACATAATAGACCATAAGTAAGAGGTCACGAATACACTATTCGATAAGAATAAAACCATAACCGAACGGACCAGGAGCCTGCATCATTTACAATTAAATGGCCGCGTAAATAATTATCATTTTGTAGGTTCTATGTTCGTTACTAGGGAAAGTGATGAAGAATTAACATCTACGAGAATTACAATCAAACCACGATATATTTTTTTTCAAAAAACCAGATTAAACTGTCTGGTAAATCTGCGGAAATCATTATGTGACCCATAAATTTTTGTTTCAGATTTGAGGGGTTTGAATTGGAGGTCACGTGTGTGTGAAATTGATTCACAGGAGATAATCTATATATATATATAAAAAAGAAATCATAATCAACAGGAGAAATTCATAATTATTAAGTATTCAAATATTTAATTTTATAATATTACTCCACTTGTCTATACTCCATGACAAGCAAACTAGAGCCACAGACTATATAATTATTTTGCTTCATTCCAAAGAGTTTAAAACTGCGCGATTCTGCGTAAAATTATCGATTATCCGAACGCCATTGTACGCAATATAAGACGAGCGATTTAAAAAGTCCATCATTGCGACTATTACTTTTCCTTTTCCCTTCGACGGAGTGTTTCAAAGTGTTGTTTCTAATTTAGTAGTATATCAATGGTAGCTTACGTACTGCTTCACAAAGTCAAAATAAGAGGGAAATATTTAAAAATAATGGCTTATACGGATATATGCCCCAAAGTTATAAAGCAGACAGTGAAAGTTAAGTTTCAATAAGATATTAAGTCTGGACATGTACGGTTTGTGAAAATATGTAATATTCCTTCTTTAATCAATAGAATATTCTAATGTCGGTTGTGTTTTGATTGTAAATAATTTCTGACGGCTGAAATGGAGGAGTTGAGGTCCAAACACAAGACATTGCAGAGCGCGGCTCACCACATTGCCCTTGAGTGTATACACCCTCAGGTAAGATAACAATATTGTACTAGTTATACATTCCAAATGACCTAACTTTCGATTTACAAATATACTTTCAGCCACTTGCGAAGGGTGTTCTGCGATTTAAAAATCCCTAATTTACTCAGCGTTGCTCTAAATTCAGCCTCTAGAAAGAGAGGTTTGTCACTTTGTAATAACTTTTGTTTCATTTATTTTTGGTCTTGTCTTTACATCACCTAATCGCCATCAATAGTACCAGTATCGCCATAAATGAAAATGATCAATGATGCTGAATGAGTAATGTTTAATTAAATTTCAGATCTGATTTCCAATTGGTTAAAATTAATAATTTTAGCAGCCATGAAGAGCCGGATTCGTTGGGGTGTCTGCCATAACGGCTACCAAGCTGACCAGTTCAAAGTATTTTATTTACAAAATTATTGCACTTTAGTGTGAGCAATGTATATAAATGTGCAAATTTTGTTACACAGCCATTCTTATGCAAATACTTGTACAGCAAATCACAAATCTGGCAAATAAATGAGTTCGAATGAGAATGTAACCTAGGGAAACAAAATAATAACACAACAATTTTGATGATTAGGAATAAAATAGGTACCTGCTTATTAGCATACTATCTTCAATTACCTAGTTAATGTTTTATTTTGTTTCCCTGAATAAGCTACTTGTACAAATCACAAAAGTCAAAATGAACACAAATTGTTTTAATGATAAATTGCACCTCACAAAGAATCTATAAGTTTGATCATTTTGGCTTAAAAGGAACATTGTTTATTTGTAAAAATAGTTTGTTTTATTCACAGTGTGGATGCACTAGTTGGCATAGCTATACTTATTCAGAGTAAGATTCTTGAGACTGTAAATTTTTATTTTCCCCAGCATAAAAATGGTTGTAGCTTAATTGATAATATATTCATGATTAGGTTACGGTTTGTATCAACCAAATATTGGATATAAATTACTCTGGTGTAAGTTCAAGGTAAAGCTATGCCAATGGCACGGTTGTTCACAGTGGTGTTTGTCCACCCATGTCTGTACATTGGAACTAGCAGTCTACACATGGGTCACCATATCACGTACACCCGTACCCCTCTCCTGTACGGCTCCAGCATGCGTTCCAGAGCACCCAGCACAGCCCCAAGATGTTTCATCCAAAGGGGCTCAAACCGCACCTTGTAAGTACACATTTTGTGCTTTGGTTTACAGCGGTGAAGGAACTGAACTTATTGCTATAGTTCAAAATTATATTGAGATGCTTCATGGTTAATGAGTGAATTGATACGAAGCTCGGGTACCAAGCTGACCAGAGGTGCTGTGTAGAAGTCAGTCTTCAGATAATTGACACATATAATTAATAAAAGGAAACTATTGTAAATTATATTGTTCACATATTGAACACTGCAACTTGGATTTCATGGCACTTGTTTGTTGTGTTTACAAAAGATATGTTTTTGTTTTCTTGTAAGTCTGCAATTTTACACAATTTGCTTATGTTTTTATAATAACTATAGTGAGACATACTAAATTAACTATAATCGCGGGATACTCACGTGAATATACTGAGAAAAGCTCTACTAGTTTCGAACCGCAGAGGGGTTCTTCCTCATGAGCAGCGTGCGTCGTCGCCGCGACAGCGCTAGTAGCGCGGAGAACCTAACGGGTAACCGGGGCTCCGGCTCGACGTGCAGGAGAAGGAACGGGGTCCCATCCACCCAGGCGGGAGCAGTCATTCGATGATTTTCCCCCCTTAAAAAAAAAGTAGAGCTTTTCTCAGTATATTCACGTGAGTAACCCGCGATTTTAGTTAATTTGCTTATGTTTTTTGTTTAACCATATTTATTACAAATTGAATTAATGCATATATTTTGTCAGGATCCACGGGCATATGGAACGCCAAATGACAGTCCTATTTTGGGCCGGGCACTATGTCTCACTCCTCGAGGCAGCCCGGTGCCAGGGCGAGTCTCCCACCTAAACGAGAAGTTCCAAGACTCATTGACACTGACATCCGATACCGATGCCCTGGTCGCTAAGATAAGCGCAATGTTCCCCACTGTCAGCGAGACACACATCAAAATATTGCTGAAAAAGTAAGTTCTTTAGATTTTATCATGTATTGTGTCCTTAAATTCTTATTGCGATTGTATTCCTATAATGCGATTTTGTTATCTAATGCGTATTGCAATAGAAGCTAATCAAAGCGCGACTGCACTGTTACAATCTGTCTGCAGGTACTACAATAGAGAAGCAGTGGTGATATCAGCACTCCAGGTGGAAAAACATCCTATCACTACTCCTGGGCCTCTCACTATGTCGCCATCTGCAGTGCGGTTGCAGAAAGGCGCTCCAGGTCTGCACTCTGCCTTACAGCTTGCTAAAGGCATGTCTGGCTCTATTCCGGGGTCCAGTCATTTTACCCCATTGACTGGTACGCCACATGGTGAGATACTTTTCTTCATACAGCGAGTCTTTACCTAAGGCCCCTTTAAGGGCCCTTCACATTTATAATACGTAATAATATGGTAACAGAACATGCAGCATACGCTTATGATGTTATGACAATGTTGTTATGCCAGTTATGTCAAAGTTTATTTTATCCTTTACAGGCTCTCCATCATTATTGCGACCAGCATCTGGGGCTTCCAGTTACTACGGTGCCAGGTCTATCGACGGTCAGCCTCCACGACATCAGAGTCCTAAAATGAAGCTTAAGTAAGTGAGGTGTTATGTACCAGTCAAACGACAGAGACAAAAATAACAATAATAAGACCACCCAAAAATAGAAAGAAACAACTTCTTTGAAAAGTAAAACTTTATATACCTATACCAGAGAGACACGCTTCATATTATGAATGACCAGAATGACATCGAATTAAAGTCTTTGTTTATCACTTTATTGTACTATTCGATATCTATGACGAAATTATCAAAATAATCTCTAAATTCAATGACAGTATCTATATCAGTGACAGATGTAGTTGCCTGAATAATTTAATTTAAATAAAACAACTGAATAGTGTAGATGTGACGACTATGTTGGAAGTAATAAGAAAAGTGTCGGTGAAACGGTGGTTGAGTTTACACCGCCGATCTCAACTGTTGAAGATTATGCCATCCTGTGTTTCAGGAGAAGAGGATAGTGGTAAAGCAGAATACACGAAATACGATATAACTTTGTTGTTGAAAAGGTTTGGAGCGAAATGTAAATTCTATTGGATGCTACCATCCAGTTCCAATAATTAGACAACTGGGGACAGAATTACGAAGAAACTAATCCTAAAAAACAATTTTACAACTACAGGTACCTCAAGAGTATTTTCCCGAAAGCAGAAGAAACATTGATCCTAGATGTGCTAGCGAACAAGGACAACAACGTGCAGAAAGCGAGCGAAGAGTTGATAGGCATGGGATTCAGTAAGAAAGAGACTATAGTGACCACACAGAAAAAGGAACCCACACCACAGCCACAGAAGAAAGTCGTCACTATTATGAAGACCTTCGCCGAGAAGTGTGAATGTAAGCATTATTTAATTTGTGTAACATCTTGCTTTTTATTCAAAGGTAGAAGTTTTCAATATAGGGTCCAATTTTAGTAACTTTGCCTATAGATAACTGAGAATACCCAATACAAATCTAATATTTCTTTGCGTTACACATCCCTCGGCACTTGCAACTGGACGTATCACGTCTTGAACTACTCATTTATTATTACAGTAAAAGAAAAACTGCAGAAGAAATACACCGACATAGCAGAAAGAGTGATATCTTTGGCATTAGAAAGTGTGGACTATCATGAAGAGAGGGCAGAACAGATCCTAAATGCTGTGCTGCAGGATGAAGCGGCTCCTAAAGCCGTGAAGGTTGAGGTCAAGGAGTCATTGAGACCAGCCACTGCGGAGCCGAAAAAGGGGTAAGATGCATGAGCTATTTGATGTTAGGTGATTAACTGAAGAAAGTAAGCTGGGATGTTCGGACTCTTGAAACTACTTAGTACTCTATAGCTGACTATATTTTTATTTGTATCGACTGTTTTCTGTGACATCGTTCATTATGACAACGTCATGATGTTATGAATTTACTTTAGAAAAAGTTCTAAAATCTTAGTTTGTATTATAAGTTGGTGACTTGGTTGTGAGACATACTAAATGTATTATGTTTTCGGCTTACTCACATAATGAGACAAGTCGAGTTCCTCGTCAAACAGCTTCGTGAGGAGGCCACAAACATAATAATTACCAACATAAGTTTTAATAAATTCTGCGGTCGCAAAGCGGGTAGCATAAAAAGACACATATTAAAAGAATCGATAAGTATTTTATGAAATATCCCAGCTTGCTTGCAATATTAATAAATAAACTGACCAGTGCTGGTTTTTAAACAACAATTTAATATAATTATTAACATATAATCACCACTTTGTTCAAATTGGAGTAAAGTTCTGCTCAAATTCTCTCCACTCATTTCCACTGTTGAATTTACTTTAACTACTGTTCTGTCTTCAAACTGATATGGTTGCTCGTTACAATAGATTTTCTGTGCCCACAACCTATGTAATACACAGATTCCTTATTTGAATTCAAGAAGTTTGACTTAACATAAAATTGATGACGAATTGATGCAAATGTTGATAGGAGCCGTCAAATCTTATAGAATATCCTTCCTTATGAAACAGACGTTTCGTAGGTGAAGACCCAATATAGTGTCTTTTTGTATATTGTTCTATATCGCATTACAAGTCCAGTAAGTTATCTGTGTATACTTTCTGATTTCAACCTAATCCTAATGCTTTTTAGCTTCTCATACGAACGTGTTGCTGAAATATGATAAGCATTCTATTGTATCTAAAAAATAGCAGCTAAGAGAATAGCTTGAATGCAGGATTCGAAAAAATTGTCGAATACGAAAGAATCTTTAATAATTTGTCTATTTGTTCATTTAATGGACGCTATGGTTATCCTCTTATCATTTAATGATATTTTAGCAACACTAAGAGACACATGAGAAAATTATTTTTAATTCGGCGGAGTTGATGAGTACTTGAAAAGTAGTAATATGTAATTGAACACAAAACCAACGCTCATTTCAAAACATTATCGTGTCGTATAAAATCTGTTTTGATTGTGACATCGGTAGCAGATATCTATAAACTAATATGTATTATGTAAAATATATATAATTATCACGGTGTTACATTTAATTCAATTAACACATCTCTCCATTAAAGCCTCTGCTTAACATTCTAAACGTGAGGCTTTGTAATTGGCGCTCAGGTGACCATAGCCACCTGTAATATTAGCTATTCTCAATCCATTCAATAATAATTATTACAATATGAAGTTAATCATTCGTACTCATCGCCTCCGCTCCTCGCGACTCATGCAAATCGTGCGCCAGTTTTCACGCGGAGGTGCGCTCGCCGAGCCCGGTACCCGCGCCCCCCGCATCCCGCCGCATCAAGACATGGACCGAGCACTTGAAGTATGTTATTCTCGCTTGACGAAACTGGGTCTTATTTGTAACGCTGTAGCTTTTGTTCTCCATTGGTAATTGGCAAGTCGTTAGGGTTTGAAAATAATGTCCGTCTCCAATAATATTGTTTTGTAAATTGTGGTGCAATGTTGAGGTGATAAAAGAAAATAACTTCCTCATATTATCAGCTATTTGTCTGATTCATAATAATGTAAAAATCTTTCAATCTTTAATAAATTCAAAACTGCTGAATCACGCGTGAAACATGTAAAGACAGCTTTTTACTTGATTGCTGACTTTCTGTATATGAATGTATGCTTCTTATCGATTTAACGACTTATAATAGTTCTGAAGTACGATGATTCATAGACAATTATCTGTCATTGTTCACTCGCTACTTAATGAAATGTATATCAAGTACCATCAGTATTGATAATTGAACAAACGTAGTATTGTTTTGCATTAATCAAATTTTATTTATAATAAAAACTAGAACCTACTTGATTATAAAATATTAGTGGAGATTTGGAATATAAAATCAAATTGGACCCAGCATCGCTCCTTGCTGAATCCCACATTGTGATGGTACAGAGTAAAATGTGTGTTTGATACAAAACGTAATAATTATATGTTATTGTGAATGTATTTTGTGACTGTTTTGAGATTAGTTAGTGTGTGGGTCGTGTTTGACAAAAGTTTTGTACAGCATGGTGTGTATGGTAGTCAAAGGCTTACCCTTGTTCGACTGGTTTAAAAGCTTAAGCAGCAACACTTTTTCAATTTTAATGTAAAATAGTTTTACCTTGTTTACGAGTGGCATGCAGTCGATAAAGTTGATTTTAGATTAAATTTTACCAATCATATTAAAATAGTAGATTTGTTGCAATAATTGCTTTTGAGATTTTATTGCCGAATTGGGTAGATGACCGGGTATGGCAATTAAAAATGTTACTTAGTCCGTCAGATAATGAAAAAATATTAGACAAGTATTTTTTTATTTTGTCATACAAGAAAACAATACTAAGATGAAATATTGAATTTTAGGTGTGGGAAACGTAGGAACTCTTTACGTCACACGCTATTTCAAATCAATATATTGTCGAAAGTATTTAACTTGGAAAGAAAAGAAAAAATACGTGTCTAATGTTTTAACATAATCTACCAGACAGACATTAAAAATAAAATTACGAAACTATTATTGTAAAATTGAGTGATTTTACTCATTAAACTGTCAAACACCAAGCGGTCACCGGTGACCGCAACCTATTGTTCTATAATTGTGTCTACAAAACCGGTACTCGACGAGTTAATAATATTAATTTTATCTATCATACGTATGTTGGTTTGATTATAAATTATAGTTGTGTTTTAGACAGGAATTATTTAAAATAACGCGAACATTGAATTGTATGATTTTTATTTGTTTAAATGGTGGTTTTGTGTGTGGTATATGGTTTTTAGAATCATCAAAAGTGATTTTGACAGAGTAGAATTATGTCAAGAAAAATAGTATTATAGAATAGTATAGACAGACATCTTAATCTTGAGTTTTAATTAGATTTTAATCACAATGAAATTATTGATCAAGAGTTTTCAGTTAGTAAATAGATTTAGTTCATCACGCCTAGATCTTGTTAGTCCGTAGTCATCATGTTCATGATCATTTTATTATTATTTAGCTTCCTCAAAGTCACTTTCTACCACCAGATTTTTCAGAAGCACTAGCTTCGAAGTTTCCTTAGATAATTAACTTCTGTAGTCTGTTAGGTGCATGCCGTGTCGTAGCAAGATTTTCTTAGAACATTGGTTCAGATATTTGTGGACTGCGAATGTTGCAGGCCGATTTTGAAGACCAGTAGCAGCGTGGACGCCAAGTTCAAGTCACAGTATTGCTCGCCCACGAAAGGTCCTAATCCTTCGCTACGACAAGGACCAAAGGACAGTTTGCTACTGTATGTATTTAGACTCTAGGATCATGTGTATAAGGATTGTTTTTATTTGTAGTGTTCTGTCCTGTGAAAGTCTTTAAGGGATAAGGCATTGGTAACTCAGATTGTTGATATATTTGTGATTTATATGTATGTGGAATGTGGTCTCCATACAGCCGGAGAAATTTGAAACAATTTTTTTAAATTATGTCTTAATTATAGAAGTAAGTCTTGTGAAACGTCTACCGCCGATAGGGTGATTTCGACTTTCTTATTAAGTGGCATATGATTGATATTTTGTTATCTATTAAGAAAACTTGTCTTAACAAACTGCTGACACGCTTCTAACAACGCAACACAGTACTTATTTCTTCCTTCCATAATACTATTAAAACATAGCAGGCAAATCCACAATTCACGCTTGAAATCACTATTTTAATTCAAAGGTGCCAAAATAGTTTAAAGCAAGCCTGTTTTTCGTGATATATTATGTAGGTATAAATAAACTGTTCTGAACTCTGGTTCCAAAAGATAATTTTACCAGACTGTGTAGATTTGTACCATATTTCATGGAGTATACTCGTTTCTGGATGTACTATCTTTTTTTAATTTTAAAGATATGCTCTGAGATGATTTATTGTAATTTCTAGGGAGGACTATATTCCATGGACGGGACCAGACCCTGAATTGCGAAGTGGTCAAGGTGTGAAGCCTGAGGGACCAGAGACCCGTGAAAGGCCTTTTTCCCTCGCTCGTGGCCCCTCGGGGCTCGCCAAAGGCGCTGCAGGACTCGCTAAAGGATCTCTGTATTCGAAATTGAACAAGAAATCTGCGAAAATGTGAGTATTGAGGAAACTTGTACATATCATACATTAATAAGCAAAGAATAGAACCATATCATGTTGGGACTCTGTGAGTGGCCATGGGTGACGATCACTGCCCATTGCCGCCTATTCCGTATAAAAAATAAGTTGTTATACTAAAATCTTCTAAATAATCATGTCATCTATGTGCAAGCATTGTATATTTCTAATATAAAACCTTTATTAACTAAAAACAGGTTACTCACGTGAAAATATTGAGAAAAGCTTCACTAGTTTCGAACCACAGAGGGGTTCTTCCTCATGCGCAGCAAACGCAGTCGCGGCGATTTCGCGTAGCCTACTCTAAAGCCGCGACCGAACGTCGCTATTTTCACGACGGGTAACCCGCGATTTTTAGTTAATTTAGTATGTCTCACGATAGTTATTAGAGGTATAACAACAGGAAACCTTTAGATAATCCTTCTATCTTAACAAATCTTAAATAAGTAACTAGCAACTGATTCCCATTTTTAATATTACAGAATCGGTTGAACGGATCGAGCTTACGGCGCACCATCTTCGCATAGCACGTAACATGTACATCTTAGTTCAGTAAATTAGTTTTACGAAGTACAGGTGGCGGTAATATATATGTATATTTACGCGGTTTCACCGGCTCCTTACGATTGTAGAGTGAGACAGATACAACACTCTACAGAGCCTGTAGACACTAACTAATCAGAAGACTTAGTACGATGCTGTGTCATAGTTAACGACCGCTGCATTCGGCGCACTGACTGGCTGGTTCATTGGAGCTGGCCAATCAGAGCGTCTCGTTAAACTCGTACTAAGGTCTTTAGTATCTCACCTAAACATGCATTGTATTATACCGTTACTTGTACAATGTTTCATCTATCAGCAGGATTGGAATAAAATGATTTACGGTCGGTTTCACAAGCGAATTTAGAACGTAATTTGTATTAAAAATCTGCCAGTTAATATAAGAGCAGTGAAACTGGCCCTTAGACGTATGTGTATATACCAATATACTAGTTGGTTAGCGCATCGTCCAGAACCACGCATTGTTATGCCATACCCGCGATTTTTCAATATTTTCTTAACAAGAACACTTGTTCTTGTTTACTGAACTTTGTACTTACAAAGTTCAGTAAAATGCTGAAATTTGATCTTACATTGAAATATATCATATAGTTTTAGATTAATTTATTATTATGCGTCTTTTAGATTTCTGCAGGATATTATATTCCGCGCCCTTAAATCTTAGGAATTAGGTTTAAGATGCCATTTAATTCGAAATCCTGTTACTAAATGAAACAACGCGCATTTAATTTATTGTGTAAAAATGATCTCATTATTTTTAAATACATTCCTTGATAAACTTTGCTCAAGAGAAATATATCGATTACGATTAGGAGGCACTCTAAATAATAACTAATACTTGCCTAAATAATGTTTAATGCTATTTTTTATATGAACAGTAACTCAATCCATTTTTATACGTCCTTGTTCATTTTTTGTTACATTAATAGGCTAATGTGATGCTACATGCTATTCAAAAGAGCCTTGAATTGTTTTGTCTCTTTTCATCTTGAGGAGTACGATAGTGATGAAAATACCTTAGGATCATCTTTGAGTGGTTTTAAAATTTAAGGTCATCGCACGGCTCCGGCACCCAGCAATTGGGTACTTTCCTTATAATCCTAAAAGTTAATTATTTCGACTGTTCAATACAACAAAATATAAAAAAATAATCACAATTTCATTAATTCATTTTATGATCAACTTAATGTTAGTATTTTTCCAGCAAATTTTTAAGAAATATGTACGCTGTTGGACGCTTAAAAACGTGACGTCACAATTCACAATCACGTACAAAATTGATAGAAAACTGTCGTTTTTGACAGTTCGAAAAAAAGTATTGAATTTGAATAGTTGGCAAGTACCCGATTAGCATGTCATTTAAATTCATATTTAAATCGTATGACATATTTCATTACGTCATTATAAAAAACCTTTCTGTATTGTTTTCAAAAATCGCGGTACCGGAGTCGTGCTTATTAGGTCTGCTTTGATCTGTAGTAAATTTACGAAGGATTCGAGGCATTAACAAATAGATTGATAAGCATCAAGACATAAGTGTGGTCCAAGGTTTGGTTAGGGAGTCGCCATTTTAGCTTAATTTAGTAATGAGGGTGTCAATTTAAGGTATTCATTGCTATGTCATGTGTAAGATACACACATGTACACGAACCTTTAGATAAAACAAACTAATACCGCTATGACAATTTCAATAATTAATTTGAAGAACTGTCGTGGTGATTGCACCCTTCGGCACTCCCTCCTCCTTTCCACCCATGCCTATATAAACGTACGCGCCTAATGGATATGGTACAAATGTACACAGCTAGTATATTAGATTGATGATCCTATCCCCGTTACATATTATAAAATATATCCTCGGGTTTAACCAAATTCAAAAAAGGATGAAGGTTCTTTAAAGTCTGTCTCGTTGACCGAGTAGTCGCAATTGCGACTGCCGGGCAAGGGGTCTCGGGTTCGATTCCCGGGTCGGGCAAAGTATTACTGGGATTTTTAAGAAATTCTCAGTACCTAGTAGCCCGGAGTCTGGAATTGTACCCGGTATATGGCTCACCCCCTATTACATGGAACTCATAACATAAATAGTGAAAAGTGGGTGTTACATTGTACAGTGGCATTAAGTGCCGTAATGTGCACCTCTGCCTACCCCTTCGGGGATAAAAGGCGTGATGTTATGTTATGTTATTAAATCGTTAACCACTCGATGCAGTTTATAAACAATTCCTCAAGGTTTGAGAATTACAATCACAGTTTTGTATCCATATTTCCAGTTAGATCGGTTGCTAGTACAATTTAGGATAAATATTGTTCATTGCCAAAATATTCTTGTTGTGGTTTGTTAGTTTTATATTTTTTTGTAGCTTGACTTTGAACCTTTGTTGATGTATAGACGCCAACCCAAACTGGCAAATAGGTATCTACAACGACAGGCTTTCAATTTTTTTAATGTAGTAAAATAGCCAATCAATGGCTTTTACAAACAAGAATGCTTTAATCAATTGGGGCTACCGTCACTAGGAAGACATTTTTTGTCCAATCATAGCAGTTGTCAAATATTGAACATCCACCGGCAGAACACTAGATAATTTCCTATTGGAAGACGAACGAGAGGAGCACACTAGTGCCATCTATGGAAAAGAAATACAGTAGGACCCGTTTAGCCTGCTACCGTTTAGAACGTAGGCTATGTTTTAACATTTTAAACAACTACTAATGTTAGTTACTAAAATGTCTCTCCTACGAAGTATGAATAAAACAACTGTGTAAATATATAGTACAGCGAGTGCACCACAATACAATATGTGATGCGATTTTCAACAGATAATTATATTCTTAACTTTATATGTTACTAATTACTACAGACGGCTTAATACGTTCATTTTACGTTAAATAAAATTACCACGATCACGATCGAAATATTACCACGTTCGGCGTTCTGATTGGCCGGCTCCAATGAACCAACCAATGAAGCGTCAGACGCGGTCTCTTTTCGATTACTGTAAACGTAAAACAAACTCGTTCTAAGCCCCTTTTATAGCCCCCAAAATAAAATTAATAAACCACAATAAAAATCGATAGACTTGCGTTGTGCCCAGTTCTTCCCGTCTCTTGCGTTATTTAAATAGATGTAATTAGTAATTGTATTGTAATTACTATATCAGGGAATCTTTAATCCGGCCATTGAAGTGTATGAGAAAAAATGTAAAGAATGTAAGAATTTTGAAATATTTTGTGGAATGATACGAGTGAAGAGATTGTTAATAAGCTAAGCGGATAGAGAAACGTGGCCCTAAATGTTGTAAAACGAAACTTACTTCTATTACATTATACAATAAGAACGTTTTTTGAAATTCAATTGTGTAGGATATCTCAAATATTCATATGGACCGTCGAACAAAGAGTTTGGATAGGAGCCATACAAATAACTAGCATGTCACACAAAAGCTTACTTTATTAATTCGCAGTTACAGTTGATTTTTTAGAGACAGTTTCAAACGAATATTAAAGAAATATGAACTTAGTCACAAGACGATACAGTTCCACGTTCGTTGACTTATATGTGTTATAAGTCTCTTTGTTCGACAGTACACAACCAAATTCCCATATAACCAAGGTAGCATTTTAATAAACACTTTACAAATAACCATATTACATAATATAACGTTAATATAGTAATAAATAATAATAATTACCTACGCTTAATAGAAACAATTTTACAAAAACATTCTGCCTTCAAATGGCATAGGGACCTAATTCTGTTTATTAATGTTAAGCATAAAATGTGTGTGATTATAACTAAAACCTAAGGCAGCTTCGTTACAGAAATGGTATATATATAATTATGTCCGTTGAATAGAAAATAATGTAATTTATATACATTGACTTTGGTATCCTATTCAACTAGCATTTATGCCATTTAGCTTAACCCATGGTATGAACGTAAATCTACGCGAGACACAAATTATTTTCTATTGTGTGTTATATCCTGGCAATCAAGAGGCTAAGACATAGCTTCTAAAAGAACGCTGTGTTCAAAAATCTCAGTAACACGGAGTCTGGAATTGAGCTCGGTATATGGCAATAGCCTCACCCTCTATTACATGGGACTCATAACATAAATAGTGAAAAGTGGGTGTTACATTGTGCAGTGGCATAATGTGCACCTCTGCCGACCCCTTCGGGGATAAAAGGCGTGATGGTATGTTGCCCCATACTAAGATTTCAGACGGGGCTCAAGAAAGCTGAGGGCGATATGGAGCCCCGGAGAACTTAACAGGTTAGCGAGGCTCCGGCTCGACGTGCAGGACTAGGAAAGGGGTAGATTTTGACGCCTTAAAAAAATACTATGATTTTTTCCATCGTGGGTTCGTTTACAAACATACAATTTCAAATACATATGACACCCAGCCACGGAACAACAATTTGTGAATCACACGTTGTACGGCAGCCAGTTCCTCGGCCACCGCGCCAACCGTGCAGTGCAATTGATTGAATAATAAACGGAATTGGAGTCCTGTGTCCAGAATCTATCATTATAAAATAGTGTTTCAAATAGTCACAACATTACACGTTTAGTATAAATTAGCTCTTACCAACGAGCTCACGTTCGCTGCTAATTAGCATAATAAATTATTTTTGTACATATTATATTATAATATAATCGTTTTAGAAGTTTTTGAATACTATAATGTCTGTGCAATATCATTATCGAATCGCTTTTGATATGAATCATAATATTTACGCACGGCTAGGCAAAATAATCAAAATTAGACTCTATTTGTATTTTCTTAAGAAACAAACGACACGTATTAAGAGTAGTTGTGGTAGGCTTAGTGTACACTGTTCTATGTACTTGTGACGTCATTAGCAATGGCAGTTAGAGTTTGTTCCCCGTGATTACTGCATTTTTTTAATAATATACACGAACAATTTGACTTCCCTTTTTCATAATTTAGTATTAACGGCTGTGTCTATTAAAGATGTAAGTATTCCTTCCGTATACAGTTCTTATGATGGTTTCGAAATTATTGTAATATTTTGTGCCAATTTTACCATTCATACATCTAGATGTTGTGTAATTTAGCGTAATATGTCCACGTACCGTCATCGAAGGTTTTACTTACATGTTATATTTATACGTGCAATATTTTCATTTTTACTATTGGTAATATTTCGAATAGATTTGATGTGCGAAGGCGTGGCTCTTTACTGAATAAATCGTTTGTACTATTTTAAAGTTTAGAATCAGGTCTCATCTCAACTCAATGTCTCCATGTATTTAAGAGTTGTATAAATTCAGGAGATTAGACTAATTTCCAATTTAATATTGTGTGACATGTGGCAAGACTATAAGATTAATTTAATCTAGCAACACTAGACAAGTAACTAATCATTCCATTTATCTATAGTTAATTGTAGTCTGCTAGCCAATTGAATATCTGCTGAATTTGGTGCAATATAACGTAAAGAACACGTCTTCTAGTATTCTAGTTGGTATTCTTATGACAAAATATAGTTGTTAAGTGTTAAATCAAATTTAGACTTCGGCCATAATGACATATCTTTTGAGGCTCAGTCTCTCCATGATCTAGTTGAAAATCTAGTCAATTAGGATAATATTACTATGTAGCGACCCACATTATTTTTGTGAATTATTGTCTCAATAAAATTGTTGGTTTTGTCCATATACTTGTTTCATTTTGTCACTGAATTCAATAAACACTCCTTACTGCTGGTCTGTTTCTTGTCAGCCTGACACAAGTCATATCTCTAATCACATGGCTTAAGACGTAGTGAAAAGCTGCGTTGTGTGTTGAGGCACCTATACCTACTATACATGAAATGGGGAGTGACAAAGCCCAGAGTGGTGGACGCGCAGCACACGCAGGTAATACAGGTAATAATTTTAGCGAATTTTAACTTCGTCTGCTATTTAGATTTGGGTTTGGGGGGGAAGCTAGGGTATGGTTTGGTGGGAATCGCTGTTAGTGAGAGCAGCATTGGCTATAAAATGCCAAGATGTCTTTTGCTATACTCGTGGCGGAGTACCGTACAAAGCAGAGCCCTAGCCAGTCCGCGCCATCCACGTCCCCCGTCATCCTCTCAGGGACCTGCTGCAACCGCGCCGCCGCACGACCACCACCTTGAGTTG